AAGGAGCATAGGGTCTTGACGAGATGGTCAACTTGGCTGGCCGAAGCAATCTGGCAGGCGTGGCCGCGTCGCGTTTGTTCCCATCTCCAGCACGTCTCACTCCCCGCCTCTTCGCTCGAGCGGCGCTGCACCACAGCTCGAGATCTTCACAAGATGCGACCCCTGCTCAATCTTCCATCTCCAATTCTTCCTCTTCTTCCTCCGCTTCTTCTTCTCCTCCTCCTCCTTCGGACCCTCGCACAGACCGCTCCCGTCATCGAAATTTCTACCGACAAATACTTCCGCCATTTATTCGCGTGTTGGGCTACTCCACCGCCATCTATTTCTCTCTGCAACTGCTCTGGACCTACCTGGATGCTCGCGAACAGACACAATTGGAGCAGGAGGAGAAGGATAGATTGATTAGGATGGTCAGGGAAAAGAGGGAGAGGGGGGTTGAGGCTGGAGGAGGAGGAGGAGGAATATTGAAAGAGCGACAAGTGACAAAGGGTTGGTGGGGATGGATCAGAGGTCAGAAATAGGGTCTGGCAGGTCTCGTGTTTACACTACAACGAGCAACGCGTGGCGGGCTTGTCTTCCTGCCCAAAAGCTGCCTGAGGCCGTATCGGGGTGAGTCATCCTAAGCCTCGACTCGTATCTTGCTTGTCGTGCCCTCCTCCCCCCTCCCTTGCAAGCTTGCTCTCTGACTCCCGCTTTTGGCCATGCTTTACCCAGAAGGCCTCATGAATGGGAGAGGGCCCTGATTCGAGCCTCAGAGCATTCACATTTCTTCCTCAAAACTCGTGAACGTCCACTTTTCGTGTAGTGTGCTTTCATCAATGCGAGTCGAAAGCACGACAGCTTTCAAAGCCCTCATCCGACAAGCTGGCTTCTCATCCCGAAATCCTCAATGCAACGCCTAGGCGACTTGGAATGCTCATCGGGAACAGGTCGTCGCCGCTTGTAGTTGATTCGATGTTATACGCCAAGCATTCACCACGCTGCGCAACGCACAAGCGCCCCCAATCGGACGTGGAGTCAGTCACAAGTAAATGCGATGCGATTGCAACGAGTGCGATCAGGGACCGTAGCTATATGCGCTTTCAAGCATTCTTTGCAGCATCCGTAACAAGTTTCGCGACCTTGTGCGCCAGTTCCTCCATCTCCTGCTGGATTCTCGCTTCCGCATACACCCTCACGCAATCCTCCGTTCCGCTAGGTCTGACAAAGCTTCTCCCCTCCAAATACTTGCCCACCAGCTTGTCGATCTCTTGCTGCAGCCCATCTGGCGTGACGAGTTTCCTATCCGCATCCGTCGTGGTGAAGAGCGCGCGATCTGGCACGATGACCTTGAGCAGCTTGTTTGGCAGGTCGGTGTACAGACTGTCCCAATGCGCAGGTTCCCAGTCTCTTTGACGCAGCACCACCTCTACCAGCAGCATGTCCGACAGCGCATCCCCCACCGTTTGATTGATCAGATCGATCAGATTGGATAATTGAGACAACGCGGCCTGACTATCACCTTGAGGAGAGCTGGAGGAGATCTTGCCGCGAATCAGTGACTGGGCAGAGTCGGAGAACAGCACGGTGCCGTGCCCATTCGCTTCAAAGTAGACGCCCACGTCGAATGACTCGGCGGCGTGATGCAGATGCTTGACTCCCGTAGAGGTGCAAACGACCGGCACGCGCTGGCGAAGAGGAGAAAAGACGCAGATGCATGTTCGCCATCAGCAACAGCAACATCGTGGACAGTCCTTTCAGTTCTGCTCACCTGGGACAAGTACTTTGTCGAACCTCCATTCGCGTAAGCGGTCTGCACGCATCCAATCTTGATCTCATCGGCGATTCCCGCTCGCTTGACTAGTTCGCTGATGTAATCGGCCACGAGAGCAGCGATCCTATCGCCATCCAATAACCTGAAGCTCTCCTTCTGCGAAGCATGCCCATTCAAGTAGTAGTACACAATGCGGTCCGCATCGCCATCAAAGCTGCACAGACGCTCCCCCTCGGAGACCTCTTTTTCGAAACCAGAAGGCAGCGCCTGCTTCGTCTTGACATGGTCTGCTCCACAGCCGTTGTTGAGCGCTCCGGCCGTATCGATGGATGTGCGAAGAGCTCGCACCTGCAATGCCGACGCAGGCAAGTATTTTTGAAAACGCTGCAAAGAGATCGCACCCACACCGTTGGCACAGTCGACAGTAAGGGGAGAGGTAGCTGGCTTGTCGGCCTACACAATGGATCAAACACAGGCTTAGCAGTCCGCGCAAATTCGACGTCAGTATGGACGACGAGCACTCACGACGGCCCTCTGGAAGGCATCTGCAAGCTTTTTGTAGTACCCTTCCTCCGTGGGCTCTCCGTACGGATCAGGAGTGCTTTGAGTATTGTAGGCCTTGACAAGGTAGTGCAGTTGGGGAGTAGTCAGCAGACCTCCGTTACGTCCCTCTGCACCTGTCGCGGCCAGACCCGCTTCGATGGCTTTGACGAGCTTGGGGCTCGAAGGGCGCGTATCGTGAGCATAAACGACGACTGCCGGAGTCTGCAAGTTGATACTGTCCGCCTTGATCAGCCTTTGCAGCACTGCAAATAGCTCTTCGTCCGTCAGAGCATTCGCTGCTTCTGTGCAGTATGGCTCCCAATTCGAAGCCAGCATCTCTCCTCGTGGATCCACAGCTTTGAGTCCATTGTCCTGGGTGGAAGAGCGATGAACTTGGTGAGCAATTCAACGACTCCAGAGTGCAATTTTTGCTTGCATGCTCACTGGTTCGGGATTGTGGGATGCAGTGACCATCATACCGACGACTTTGCCGCCCATTCGCTTGCTTCTGAGTGCGCTGATGAGTGCCAATCTGAAACAAGTGCTTTCTAGTACATCTCCTCTGCGAGCACGAAATGGGGGACATCAAGTTGACGCAATTAGTGCGAAACCGGGGAACTGGCCCGGAGAGAGGCTTGTGACTTACTTTGTTCGGACACCGGCGGTGCCATATGTGAATTTGATGCCATCTGGCTTGGGATATGATTTGGACGCTTCGGAGATGAGAAGGGTGGGAAGCCCGTCGGTCGCTTGAACGGCAAAGTCTATGTTGGATGGAAGCGCCATGATGGTGGGTGAGGAGCGTGTGCGCGAGTGTGAGATGGGTAGGTGTAGTGTGGGAGAGCGCCTTGGGTCGTCACTTTATCGATGTATGCTATGCTGAAGTCACTTGATCGATGTATGCTATGCTGAATGATGATGATGATGATGATGGCGTCGACGAGTCAATCCAATTGTGATACACGAATAGGATCGTGTGTCTACGGTAGATTCGCCGATGCGGTTGATGTGTCGAGCGCATGAACCTACGTTGGGTTCATGCATGCTGCGCGCAGGCTGGTGTTGGGCGCACGGACGCACGGACGCCACAGCCGCGTAGGCGTCCCACTCATCATCGGCCTCTTTCTTCCACGTGGTTGGCTGCAACAGGTGAACAGATGCATGCATTTGATGGTTGCCTTCTGACAATCGTGAATCGTGAGTCGTGAATTGAATCGCCTCAGCAACTATCCACAAGACCCGTATGGTCCACGATCGCCATACACATCACCGCCAGATCCTGCTCGCTCTCCTCAAGCAGGCCAGCTCTAGATCGAGAGGAAGCGAGAAGCGAGGGAGTCTTGACGTAGCATACGTCAAGCAGCTCATCCGGTCCTTCATCCAGGGCGCTCTGGCACTCCACACAAAGCTTATCTGGCCCTCATTCGCACCTTGACTTCAGCAGCCACATCTCATCCTGTATAACACAATCACCAATCATGGCCTCTTCATCCATCAATCTTCTGCGCTCGCTAGCAGTTGCACGATCGCGCATCTTCCAAACATCCACACCCAGCCTCTCCAATCCGGGTGGTGTGCGAACCGGATCCAAAATTCTACGTGCCAGATTAAGAGGTCCTAGCATGTTGAGGTACTATCCTCCTACGCTCAATTTGAGATCTGTCAACATGTTAGGTAGAGAGCTGGAAGGGGATATGTGGAGGGATGTGGTAGATTGGAACGAGAGACAGCGATTGGCTGATCTAGACAAGGCTAAACATTATGGGAAGAACCCGCCCAAGAAAGGTGAGTTTCCCAGTCAACATGCGGGATTTGCAAGTGCTCGTGTGACGCAATGGCGGAATAGGGGAAACAAAGGGACTGTGTAATGCTTACATCTCCTTTCCACCTCTTCGCTTGCAATGCTCCGGGCAGGTCAAGGACGAAGAGCAGCTGTCAAAGGAAAGAAGTGATGCGCACTCTTACTCGAAACGCCTCCAGTATCATGCTTCACTCGCCCTCTGATACACTCTACGCATCCGCTTCGCAATCGATTCTGAGTGTCACCGGCCGTCGAATCTTTGGATGAAGGTGCAAGGGTCGGGTATCGAATTCGAGATGCGAGACTGCAAACTTATGCGGGCAGCTGCTCTGCTCTGCTCTGCTCCCGGTGTGGCTCACGCAAGCCATTGGTCACGAATGATGCGCAAGCAGACGCCATTTGGCCGGGTGGATGTAACGGAGGTGGAGGATGTGGAGCCGACAGATATATCGAAAGCCGTTTGGGGGTGGAATCAGCTCAACCTGGCTTGCTCCCGTTCAATCACAACAAAGTGATTCGGCATTCATTGGTCCAAATCATCCCTGATCCTCACGCATATCAAAAGCGGGCAACCGAATCCTAAGAGTCACGAGTGCAAAAGGGGCGTGCAGCTGAATTGAAATTGCCTTTGAAAGGGTGAGTCATACTCGTGGCTGGATGGCAAAATGCCGTGCAAAGCTTTGATCTTGATCGAGTCACGGTCCATTGGCGGCCCATGCAATCACATTGAAGGATGTGCAAAAGCTGTGTAAAAGCTGCGTTGGGAGCGCTGCTTAGTTGAGTGCACTTCGTCGCGCTACCATGAACGCTTGCGCTCGACCTTCACCACTTGACACCCAATCAAATGTTACGGGAGTCGTGTGACCCGAAAGCATTTGTCGAGTCAGATGGTGACGGATGGTGATCGTGAATCACGAGTCCGTGAGTCAAGGTCGAGCCTACGACGCGAGCGATTCTGAATTCGTGATGGTGAATGAGGTCATATGGCCGTGGATGTGCCGTGCCGCGCCCACGTGGACCGCGTTCA